TGCTATATGCTTAGAGCTCAAAGAAATCCCACACACCCACTTCACAGTCTGTTTCTTTTGCTTCTCTCTGGGAAGAGATTTCAAAGTATTTATAGCAGAACTACTAGATTCTGTAACAACTTTGTTATGCCATCCATCTTGTAAATTCGCAGGATTCTTTTTCCCCCCGCCATATATATGTATACATTTGGACTAAACTGTGATGTTTCTCAGTGTCATATATGTGTGGGGGGGTATATGCACAATGGTATTTTCTGAGAGCTGAATGCAAAGAAATTTCATTTTTAATGTATGTTGATCAGTGTACATTTAAAGCAACAAGGTTTTTGTTCTATTCTTATTCTCTTCTATTCTGACAATGGAAAAATGAATGGTAGAGTTGGCAAAAGGTATTTTAATTTGGAAACCACTTCTGGATTTTATATTCAAAACTGAAAGAAGTGAAACACTGATTTTAGGTTTTATAATTAGAATGAATTTATTGTTATAGAAATTTGCTTTAAATATTTAGAAATATAAAGCAAAAAGTTGAGGCTACAACTTTTTTTGTATTCTACTGCACTAAAAAGTTGGAAGTCACTTTTTTCTTTTTTATTCTCAATTGGACTTCTCTTTCTTTTTAACTTTCTTAATTTCTGTTCATATTTTAACTCACAATAAACTCTACTAAAAAGAGAGAAAGAAAAGCTACACATAAATGTTTAACCACATTCAATGAGATTTATTTCTTGGTAAGAACACATAGGTTGTAGCCTTATATGATTTTTATTCTTGAAGGAAAATTAAAAGAATAAATTTAGTTTGTGGAATCAAGGGCTTATTAGAAGTTCAATTTAATAAAAACTTGATTCATAAAGACAAATTTAAGAAAAAATAATTTCACAAACTATGTGATGGAGTTCAATAAAAAGTATATATATATCCATCAAAAAGTTCATAAAAACAACAACGAAGCAAGTATATGCCATGTTATAATATTTATTACAAACATGAAAAGGAAATAGGGATTTTACTGCTCCCCTTTCTCTCTTAAGAGAGTAACTACAAATAACGTACTATCACCCAGAAGGTTTTTTAGGCTGCTGGATAATTTTAAAGCAATAATCGCTAGTGGCTATAATCTATCCTACTAGGAATAGGTTGTTGAAGAACTTTTGTAACTCTGCTACCTGAAACTCTTTAACTGGTAATAGCTGTCTTCTAGTAAAATAAATTACCTGACAATGAGCTATTTCCAACACAAAGTAGATACAAAAGGCCCATATAAGACTCAAGGAATAAATCCTAAATCTTTTTGAGACCAAAACTGTATTTTCAGGTGGATGCCAATATTTGGAGTAAATCATAGCTTATTTTCTAGCAGTTACTATCAGTCACTTTCTTCCAAAAAGTATAGAGAGATTGTGAAGTATAACATGAAAGACACAAATGAGGTCTAAAGACAGAATGTCAAATTAACCTATCTGGTTTTCTTAAGTAAGTTATATTTCAAAGTATCTTCTACATACAAATAATATGCTTTAATATACTTTAATAAAATGTATTTAGTCTTTCCCATCTGTTCCCCGTTTCATCAAGTATTTCTTCTTATGTTGTACATTTTAGCAAAGTTGGGAGATGGTGAGAAATAAAGTTTGGTATCTGTGCTTGAATAGGGGAAAAACACATATCACCCCATATTCACAACCTAAATGGTTGATGGCTAAAAGTATCACAATACCATATCCTGTATCTCCTGCTCTCAATGTTTTTAACTGAAAATACTAGGGATTATATCTATCACAATCTATATACAAATATATTTTTTACAAATTAACTACGTTACTTCTCATAGAGAGGTATATAATAGTGAAGATAACCTGTTCCTATTTAAATTAAATTAGAACTGTACATTTTTTTATTACTACTTGAAACCAACAGTTGAGGAAAATCTCTCTTTATTCAATAGCTTAAGACAGGCATGTCAAATTCGCAACGTATCACGACTTTTTCCCCATTGCTGGCAAAGGGGTGGGCGTGGTTTCAGTATGATGCATCTGGCCCGCGGCCAGCAGTTTGACATGCCTGGCTTAAGACAAACTAATCTTGAATACCAATCTAGAAAGCAAAAAATGAAACATATGACTATGCCTGGAAATAAACAGTATCAAATTGTTCACAGATTACAATGTCAGATTACATAAATGTTATGAAGCTGCTGGGTGTGGCTTCATCTTTACTCATCATCTTTACTCACAGTGTATATTTGCTTAGTCAGAGCAGAAGAACAACTATCAGTTTAAAAGTCAACTAGAAACTGGGGTCTGGAAATATCCCCTCCAACAATAATGTTCCTTCTATACTTGAAATCAGGGGACTATTTTCAGAACAAATTTTCTTCTATACATAAACCAAACAAAATTAATCCCCTAAGTGTAAATGTCAGAATGATAAGCTCTTCCCTTTTCCCTACAGGATATTGTGCATTAGTAAACAGTATTTTAGAGATTATTTGCATCAATCCTTAACATTTATTTTAATTAAATGAAAGGATCTGTTCTGAAAAAGTCAGTAAAAGCATACAGCATAAAAGAAAAAATATTAGTCCAAGTCATGTTTGACAAACTTTAAAATGCAACTCTAGTATTTAAATTATGCAATATTACACTTTAAAGAAACTACTTTTTTATCCTTATTCCCTGCAAATTATTTGGCAAAAATATATTGTCCAGATATTTATCTTGTTGTTTTCCCTTCACCGAAAAGATACTTAATTGCAGCCAGTTTTTCATCTGCAGTTTGCAGCAATAATAACCAGCCATTTTGTTTTCACCATGAAAACTATTGACCAGATATCTTTCTATCTCTTTATTAGAATGTTACATTATTTTTAAAATAAGCATTAAAACAATATATTGCATCAAACAATTTACATCAAACAATTTAGACTGCTTCAAAAACATTTATAAATATGCACTTATTTGCACATCCATCCGTGCATATAACAGACTCTGTAACATAATGGATTTTTATTCTATGACTTCAAAACAAAATCTACTGCTGCATAAAGCTATTAAATATATACTTTAAAATATTCTAAATAAATATGTTCATGTATTTAGTAAAGTAGTATATTTTATACCTCAGCTGCCTTATAATAAATATGTCAAGGCCAACACACATTTTTCTCCACCTGTTCAGACTGCAATAGCTTGCTGTGAGAATGACAATTAAAAAGGTGTCACTGTTGACATTTCCTGTTTCTTCTCAGTTAATCTGTCTCAAACATACATTTACATCCTGTATTTTAAAGACACTACATACATGCACATACTTGTTTATATAATAGCTTGGCAACAAAGAAATATATAAAATACCAAGAGTACATAATGAAAAAAAGCATCTCTGAATTCAGCTTAAATGTATTTCCAGTCTAACAAAAAAACAGCAATGCACTGATATTTTAGAGCCTAAAAATGTCTTTCTTATAAATGATTGAGGTTTGAAAGGGAAGTATTTTACCCTTAATTGGATCTTATTACAGATTTGATCATATTACACTACTTCAATTTCATATGCAACATATCATAAGAATTATATAACATTTTGGAAACACTAAGATATCAGAAGTTATCACATGGTACAGTCTTAATAATTAAAACAAATATAAGCAATTCAGAGGAATTATATGTTGCTTCAGTAATAATATTCATTGAAAACTAGAACAGCAATATGACATTGTTAATACTGTCAAAAATAGCCTGTGACTTAAATTTAAGAGACTGGAAATGTCTCCCACTGTTCAAAATAAATGGAGGAGTTAGTAAGACTAATATTCTGTATTAATACATTTAAATATACTGCCCATATAGTAATACGCAGGACCAAATTTATAGATATAGGATGGAACCTAGTGATAGAATAATATGTGGAGTTGAAATCAAAAAGTATAAAATAATTTTAACATAAAAATCCATAAACTAGCCACTAATGAAAATGTTCTTTCAAAAATTACATTTCCATCTTTGTCATGACTAATTTTTTTATTCCACCAATAGTTCATTGCACAAAAACATAACTGATCTTATATATACAAGTTAAGGTACAGTACACTACTATAACAAAATACAAGTGTCTGCATTTCTTTGCCTCCCATCCCCATGTCTAATGACACAGCATTGCTTAAATCATTCTTATTCAATTATGTATGTGCAAACCTGGATCATAACCTGAAGATTCCACAATCTGCTACAATCAAAATACATTTCATTAGCCTTTCAGACAGTTTAGATATCTTTTTCTTACACATTACACTTACTAGCATCTATTAATGCTTGTGAGGTATGCTGAAATCAGAAGCTCAGAAAAAATACCAAATGTTAAATCCAATGTTAAAATTCTTTTTCTATTGACTTTAATTATAACTTTACAAGCTGCTGTAAATTATTATATGTGTTAGAGCTTTTGGAAATATGTGTTTTGAGCAAAAACATAAAGCTGGATCTGTTATATTTCTTTCATCAAACATAATTCATAAACACTAAACAAGTGTCAAACAAATGTTGAGCATTTGGAATGCAAACCTGATATTGCAGCTGTTAAAAATAGCTACAGCACTCATTCTTTGGGATTGCTGTATCCTTGGCCAATTCAACAGAAAATCCTTCACTATTCACAATATTATAAAATAAAACTCTTATTTCTTTCACCTCTCCTTACCTTTCATACATCTCAGAAAAATTGTGATTAGAAGCATAAGAGTTTATCAAATTGATATTGCATGCTTATAGTCTTTCTTTAAAACATGCTAGATAAATTTATATTATCTAATACATACTCTTACATGTTTTACAAGTAGCATGCCAATCTATTATACATAATCAAGATACTGTCAATATATCTGTCACAATATTCAAGATTAAAAAAAGCAGTATTGCTAGCATTATTTTCGGTTAACATTATAAACAAGAAAAGCTTACACTCCCTCTTTTTGTTGCAGCTAAATAAAACCATTCACCTACCTCTGCTGCATACTGATGGTTATTGTTTCCTAAGGAAGCTTCAAACATGCTGCACCATTTTGCCTGTTTCATGGATGGCGCAGAAGCTGGCAGGGCAGCAGACAGAGGAGTATTCTAGAGTCAGCAAATGTCAGTGATAGCCTTATACTGCAGTCTGTGCATTAAACATACTGAAACCCACAGGTGCCTACGTAGAGCCATACAGCTGCAGGCAGCGCCTTTACGTTTTCTCAGCAGAACGCCTGTGTTCCACTTTCATTCTTTTTTAACCCATTGCATGACAATAAACCAGTACCATCCCTGAGGATGTCTATAGCAAAATCATCACATAAAAGACTGCAGGCAGAGGGAAAAGCTTTAAGGCACCACATTTCCTATAGAAAAAATAACACAACTGCATTCACCATGAACAGGTTTATCTTATTTGATTATCATCAATCACTGTTTTTTAATTTAACATAGTTTCTATTGTTAAATACTTTAGTATTTGAAATATAATTGCAAAATAGCTATCATTTTGAGAAGATCTAAGGAATGTACAATTTGCGAAATTGTACAGTCTGCATCTTGATGTTCTGCAATAAAATGCAGTGTATTCCAAATAAAAATCCCCTGTTTAAGAGCTGAATGAATGATTTTCAGAAGAAGCAGTGCTTAGAGGAGCAACCTTTTTCCCCACTGGAGAGAATGGCAGCCATTTACTTGTATTCAGCTCTTTTAGCAGGACAATTAGGAGAGTTTGACAGAATGGAACTCAAATGAGGAATGAAATAAGAGCAGAATAAAGACTATTTCTTTGTAGTAGTTTCTATTCGGTTTCAAAATAAGTTTACGCCTCATAATTTCTTGAGAACTACCTCAATATTCATTGTAAGAATAATATATGATAGTAATTTATTTATTTACGTATTTAAAACTATAAGTCACTTTGCAGAGATACATTACTACCAAATTAAAAGATTTTGCATAGACTCAATAAATAAGTATATCAGAATAATATATAATATGCATAAAAATTGTTTCAGATAAACAAAACACTTATAGCTAGTGTTATAGCTAGCTTATTTGTTTATTCATGTCAGAAGCATCACAATTAAAATAAGCATACTACATGACATAACATTTAAAATATAAAATAGACGACTAAGATATGTACAGCTCAGTTTCTGCCCAGACCAAAAACTAGCAACATCAATTGTGCTCTGTCACGCTGCCATGAGGTCCTCAACTGTACATTGATTGGGGCCCAAAGCACAGGTATACATAGATGTTGTTATCTGCATGTCACCACAATCACAAAGAGCAGAAGCAACTGAATAGTCCCATTTGTTCAAAGTGTCTGTGGATCTTGTTGTGTGCAGTCTATTCAGTGATTTCCATACTTCCTAGTTTTCATCAGACCCAGGTGCCAGCTCCTCCATTAGTTTCATTCATGTTCGTTCTTTGTAGTTTTCCATAGATCTACTCCGCTTTCAAATTCTTCAAAATCTTCTGTCAACCTAAGATATTGCTGGATTTTAGTCTCTACTAAGCTGATTATAGGCCATAGAGAGGGTGTTGTCTAGATATTGATGATTTGAGTCTCTGTATGTTGCGGCTTCTCTGTGAACTTGAAAGCTAGCTTTCAAGGCTTATTAAAATCTATTAGACCACCCTAAGATAGGTAAAAATTTGTGTAGTTTCCTAGAAACTTCTCATGATGTAATTAAAGTTGTATTTTTATTGTAACTTAAGACAGTCCCCATTAAAAAGAACTAACAGTCTTAGATTATTAAGACAGATTCCTAAACACCTCTTTCCTTTGAACTCAAATTCAATGACCTATCTGCAACAATAATCTGTCCTTTTGGTTCTCACTCCTAAGTGACAGTTGTTTGTATAAATTCTCTTTATTCATGCTTTGGGAATTTTTAAATACTAATAAAACCTGTCACAAAAAAGGATTACAAATTCTGTTCTCATCAATGAGTAATATGAAATAACTCATTTATTTAATCTTCCTAGTTAATTTAATCTTCCTACAGAAAATTAGTGTAAGAAAAAGAAGGCCAAATTCATATTCTGGGCAGTCAAGGAGCACTGCTAAGATCTTTCTTTGTCCTTCCCTGCTTAAAATAATATCCATGAGAACTTTAAAATTAACAATTCATCCTAATTTTGCTTTCCCCCTCTTTTTTATATCTTTTTAAACAGAAAGAAATCCCACATCATAACAGTCAGCATGAAGATCCACAATACTCCTGAATGCAGCCAAAACCAGATTAAAATGCAATTGGGTAATATTTAATAAAATAAAATAAAAATAAAATATAGGTAATGTTGCATTTTAAAACTAAAAACTAAATAGAGCCCCAGGTGACAGGAATTCCCTCCCAGTCTAAGCATCAGCAGCCCCGAGCAACCTTGTTGTTATGATTAAACTGAGGCACAAGTTAACACAGTGGATAATTACGGGTTTTTTTATTAATTTTTGTTTTGAAATAATTAAAGCAGTCATATTTTTATGATCATACCAAAAGTTGATCCCAGTTGTTTCAATATGCATGCATAACTGCACTTTCTTTTCAGTGGAATGGCTATATAAGACAATAGCAATAGTAATAGGCCTTAGACTTATGTACTGCTTCACAGTGCTCTACAGCCCTCTCTAAGCAGTTTACAGTGTCAGCATTTTGCCCCCAACATTCTGGATCCTCATTTTACCGACCTTGGAAGAAAGGAAAGATGAGTCAATCTTGAGCCGGTGAGGCTTGAACTGCCAAACTGCCAGCAGCTGGCAGTCAGCAAGAAGTAGCTTGTAGTACTGCATTCTAACCACTGTGACACCACGGTTCATTGTGGTGTCACCACAATAATACAATAGTCCCTCTATGCATACATCACTCATCAAGCAAAAAAGACACATATAGCATGGCCATTAAATAAGGATTTTTAAAAATATTAACAACAATTAAACTGATCCAAATACATATAAATAATAATGTTCAAAGTAAAATATAAAAATATCCAAGTAGCAATTAATGGCTGGGATAAAAAAAGAAGGGAGGCTATCAGAAAGCCTTTTTGGTTTGCTTCTCTATTTTTTCTCAAAAATCTTTAAGTGCTTTTATGTGTGTATGTTTTTATTGCATGTTTTACTATATGTATATGTATATAAATAATATTTTAAAAATTACCTTACTGTTGTTGGAGACACATAAATTTAACATTTTATTTAAATACATTGTTCCATTTCAGTCAAAAGCAATTGTAAGTATTAATTCCCTGTTTAATATTCTTAAATGTTTATATTCTGTCTCAATCGACTGAGAGTTCATATAATGTGTCTGTCAATTTGCATTTCAAATGTTTGTTTTTTGTTTGCTCAGCTTGTTTTAATTTCTTTTATAATTTTGTGCATTTTTACTTTGTTTTTGCATTTTGTATTAATTTTAAAAAGACATATAGGTAGTCTTTGAGTTATGGCTACAATTGAGCCCAAAATTTCTCTTGTTAAGTGAAACAGTTTTTAAATGAATTTTGCCCATTCTATGATCTTTCTTGCTACAGTTGTAAATGAATCACTGTAATTGTTAAGAGTTAGTAAGACAATTGATAAGTGAATCTGGTTCCCCCATTGACTTTGCTTGTCAGAAATTCACAAAAGGTAATTGTATGACTCCAGGATACTGCAACTATCATAAATATGAGCCAGTTGCCAAATGTCTGAATTTTGATCATATGACCACTGGGATGCTGCAATGGTCATAAGTGTGAAAAATAATCATAACTCATTTTTTTCAGTGCTATTGTGACTTTGAATGGTCACTAAACAAACTGGAGGGCTATCTGTATTTGGTTCAAGTGATAATTATGTGATGTTAGTGACTGGAGTATCAAGCTCATAAATCTGAACATTTTATCCCATGAAAGGTATCTCACAAAATTGTGTGCAATAACCTTTTTAGTGGTGAACAAAATAGCTATGCTAAGAAATACTACGTAAAAATTTACAATATGTTAGCTAATAACTTATTTGAATGGAAAATTGAATAAAAGGGGCGTTGTCTTACTTAAGGTAAGACAATGCCCCTTCTCCAGCATGAAGATGGAGAATCCACGAATGGGACATACCAAAACTGCCCTTTCCCTATAGGAAAGAATCCTATGTCCCACTTTGTGGCACCACTTGCTGGAGCACTCTCCGGCTAAATGAGGCGTCCGCAGAGGCAAACCTATCCAACTTATAATGCCTCACGAACTGGGAAGGCAAGGACCAAGCTGCCGCCCTACAGATATTCCTAATGGATGTCTGTGTTGCCCACGTGCAGATGTCGCAGCACTGCGGGTGGAGCGGGCAGTGATATGGCTTGGAATTGACAGGGAATGTGACTGATATGCTCTTGCAATGCAAGCTTTGATCCACCTGCCTATAGTGGAAGCCGAAACCTTCTGTCCCATGGAAGAGGGTTGAAAAAAGACAAAGAGGGCTTCCGACTTGCGAAAGGCTGAAGTTTGCTTAATGTAATGGCGTAATGCCCTGTGGATGTCCAAGGTGTGCCATTGATGTTCTAAGTCATGAGATGGACGAGGACAAAAGTCTGGTAGGATCACCTCCTGCATCCTGTGGAATAAGGTATTCACTTTAGGAATAAATGACAAATCCAATCGAAGGACCACCCTATCATTATGAAAAACGCATAGGTAATCTCTGACAGAGAGAGCTGACAGTTCCGAGATGTGTCTAGCCGACATGACGGCTATCAGGAAGGCTACCTTCATGGTTAAGGACCGCAGTGTACAGGTCCTGATGGGTTCAAATGGTGGTGAGGTAAGGGCCTGTAAGACCCGCGGCAATTCCCAAGAGGGATATCGATGAACCTACAGGCGGTTTGGTGTTAGTCGCTCCCTTGACAAAGGAGCACACCATGGGGTGCTGAGCCAATGGCTCTGAATTGTCACATGTAAGCACTGTGGATAGAGCCGCCACCTGTCTGCGGATAGTATTGGGTGCCAAACCTTTGTTGAGCCCCTCCAATAAATAGTCCAGGATTCTTGGGATAGTAATGGCCGAGAAATCTAACTGGTTCTTTGCATAATGGTGGTTTGTGTAACAGAACTTGAGGAACTTCCGATGGCCGGGAAGGATGAGAATATGCAGGTATGCTTCCGTGAGGTTGATAGATGTCAGGAAGTTGTCCCTTCTGATGCTGGCCAGAATAGACTGGAGCGTTTGCATTTTGAATTTTTTGTAGG